GTCTTTCTTCAACATTCATGTTAAAGAAAGACAGAAGTAAGATTTATCTGAGCTTTGATGTAAATGGAAAGCACCTATTCTTAGGGATGTCTTGTAGCTCAGTGTAAGTGCAATAGATTAGTATGCTAAGGGTCATGCAGGTTTGACTGAGTCCTGGATACTGCAGTTTGCTCATTAGGATTCTTTAAAAAAAAAAAACATTCTTGTTTGTGTGCATTATTTCCACTAGTTTATGGTGGAAGAAGAGGAGAAAGCATTCATTCAGACTTTCATACACATGAATATATACACATGTAGGCAAGCACACAAGTGTAAACTTATGTAGACAGGTATACAAACGGTTTTTATAAAGAAGACTTTTAAATGCTTATAATTCAAAAACTAATCATAGAATAAAATTTTAGACTTTATCAGAAACAAAAACTACACAGAAAAAATGAAGTTGCCTCAATTAAACGTCGTCACGGGCTGCTACAAGCATAAATAGTTAATTCAATTGGATATTATTGAACCAAATATTTAAATTATTAAAACAATTATTTCATGTTTTTTATTCATTAATATTGATGTTGCCAATAGATTTTATCTCAACTTACACTGATGCTGTTAAAACATTATTTTTTTCCGTGTACGACTTATCACAAAATCATACAAATTGACCAAAAACATTTTTGTCATGAGAATCATGTGTGATCCTTTATAGCATATTTTGTAAAATCTGTTCTTTCTAAACTTAGCTATCTGGATATATATTCGAATTAGACAATATTGTTGAATCCTAGTTATTATTGTGATAAAGTTCAAAATATGCAGTTAATATATAGCTTATATTAAAAAAAACAGGCTTCTTTTCTTACAGGATTTCTCTGAAAGCAAAAATTGCAGACCCATAGTTTTGCACGATAGTCCACTTGACATAATGGATTTAAAATAGCTCTGCAGGTAGATCTTGTACATAAAACTGGATCATATTGAATTGGTGGAAGATCTGCTCGTTCTTTAATTGGTTGGTATAAAGCACCTAATGGAACAACCAGTCTGGTAGCATCGATACGTGATGAGGGAAATACGTTCCATGTTAAACGCACACCGTCCCTATCTTCGTTTTGTTGAATAAAATCTTCATATGTCGTCATCATACTATAAGATATAACAGTTTATTTTTTAGTACAAGTAGTTTGCTTTTTCAGCTATATTAAGTTAACTTCTATTCTCTCTTTTATATAATTGTACTTTTTAATATAGAGGTATAAAATAATGAATAGTAAGTGAACAAAAATTCCAAAAAAATAAAATTATTATAACTATAACAGGTTAGTCAACAATGAATAAGTACTTACGATTATCTTCATACACAAAAATGTAAATTAATTAGCACTATTCTGTATTCACTAATATAATCCCTTTAGTATACTGAGAAAGTTACATAAATTTTTGTAAAAAATAATAATTTTCTCTCTCTCGAACAACGTTCAGGCCACGTCACTTACAAGATTAAAGGAATGCGCAAATATGTCTTCCGTTCTACATGTGTCACGTAAAATCCACCACAGACTACTCATAAATATAGAACAGGAAGTTGATTACGGTTCTTGAAACGAGGTGAAAATTACAAAAGTGAACAGATTTACTAGATTTCAACCAATGAAATCATAGGCTGGTATTCATAGTTGGTTCTTATTTTAAGATTGTCTTAAGTAATGTCTTAAGATGCTAATACGGCTCTGTGATTGGTTAATGGCATCTTAAGATCGTACTTAAGACGGACTTAAATATAAGATTCGACTAGGGCCGGTATTCATAGTCTTCGAGATTGTCTTAAGTAATGTCTTAAGACGCTAATACGGCTCTGTGATTGGTTCATGACATCTTAAGATTAAACTTAAGACGGTCTTAAATAACTATGAATACCGGCCATAGATACGCTAATAAATTTTCTCATTTTTGTAACTTTTCACCTCGTTTCAAAGGGGGTCGATTCTGTATTTTGAGACAAGGTAAAAATTACAAAAGTGAACAGATTTACTAGATTTCGACAAATGAAATTGTAGATTCTCTAGTGAATTTCCTCACTTTTGTAATTTTCACCTCGTGCCAAGATACAGAATCGACCCCAAGAACCGTAATAAGCCCCCAGGGTCGATTGTGTATCTTGATTGAATAGGCTTGTTCGCGTTGCTTGAAATCCCCAAACATTTTTGCACTTGAAATGAAATAAATATATATTCAGCCGTTGGAGAGAGAGAAAGCGAAGATGCTGAGTGCAAAAAGTGCAAGCAACGCGAACAGACCCAATATCTACGATTTTATTTGTCGAAATCTAGTAAATGTGTATCTTGAAACGAGGTGAAAATTACAAAAGTGAACAGATTTGAGGCAGGAGCCAATAAAATAAAAGAAGAAGAAGTACACAATAGTAGTTACATTATTTGCGTTTTCGATTTGCGACTCAAGCCGACTCGGGTCGCATCATGTATAAAGGTGAAATTTCATGGGCAGT